TCCTTACAGGCGGGCAGACACGAGCTTGAGAGAACGAAAATACATGGAGTGTGTGAGGGGATGAACAAGCCTTCTAAATAACGACAGAAATAGCGGGATCTGGGAGTGTTTAATCTACACAAAACATGAGGATCAGAACACTACACGTAGGACCTCACGTGATCCTTACAACAACTAGGGAGCAGGGTCTCTTATCCTCATTACACAAATGCACATTTGAAGCTTCAAGGGGTTACACAATTTAGGCAAGATCACAGTGCCAGGACACAGTGGGGTTAGGATTCAAGCCTAAGGCTAGCCCATAGCTGACCCGCTTAACTACTGCATCACACTGTGGGCAGAAAGTCAGCCTTGAGATGAGCAGCCAGGAAGTCCAGCGTGGTGTGGGAAGTGCCCCAGTAGTGGGAAAGAACATAGCCCCAGAACAACAAGGTCACTGCAGCACTCGGGGCTCCAGACAGACCGACTGCCTGAGAATTCTCCCAAAGGCCATTGACCCCATCTGCTGGACACAGGTAGGGACTGGAATCCAATCTCTGTGAAAAGCACTAATAAAACAAAGAAACACAGAAATGTAAAATCAGGCAAATGATGAAGGCAAAAATATAAGAGTGGGCAATGAGAGGGGAGATTCTGCTGCTCTAAGTGGAGTAACACCGTTTAGGTTTTGATGGGACAGCAAAGTGTAGCTTCAAAGTGACCACAAGACTCATGTCAGGCCCGCAGTAAAGGTGATGGTGCTGCTGATGAAAACATGCTCCTGTTCTGTTACTCTATCCTCGCGGAGCTCAGGGTCAGCACTGAAGACGGACACGGAGCCTCATCTGCAGAAAAGTCAGACGACTCCAGCTCTGCTGCCATGAAGCCCAGCGGGCAGAGAGGCGGTGAGGCACGAGCTGATCCCAGGGTCTGAGCAGGGCCTTGCTCATAGTGTGCCTTAGAGCTCAGCCCCCCTAAACTGCACCACTTTTTCACCCACAACTCCATGTTTCCAAGTCTCTCATTACTTCTCTGCCTCCCCACCCTGCCCAGCACAGGTCTCCCGTATCACCAGCGCTGGAGGTGGCCAAAGTTGGGATTATCGCTTGTAGATATGAGCCATCTGTTGGCGGGGATTTATCTGAGAATGTACAGAAGCCAAAGGCAATCCGAAGGACAGAAGAAGTAAGCCTGAGAGGCTGGTCGAGTGTCTGCGGGAAAGAGGGAGAGGCTTCACCGAGGACAGAACTCCCACTAAGGCACATTGGAGGAAGATGAGCTTGTCATCGGCTTGTGCTCCCGCAGCCTGGGAGAGAAGAGCCTGGATTTGAAGAGACAGCTCGACAGCAGTACTCGGTTATTCTGAAACCCTGCTACTATCCAAACGTCAGGTCCCGTCAGCTCACATGCAACCACCAATTCCAAGAGAGAGGCCAGGAAGACGGTCTCTGGGCTGTCGGCACAATTTCTAATCATGTCATTTGAACACACCCTTGATGGTCTTCACAAGCCTTTTGCTTACTGTAGCCCAGCTCTAAACAAAGATTTCAGAAAGCAGTTCACAGTGTAGCAGCATTTTTAAGTCATATTTATAGCTTCTCTAAGAGATCAGGAACCTATCTTAGCTCCTTTCTCCAAGGGGGTAACAAGAAATGGGAGACTTGGGGATCCCTTTCTAGATCCACAGCTACAGGAAGTGACTTTCCCATGCCCCATCCTGCCTACTAGGCAGACTCATTTCCTCCCCAGCGTTCCTTCCTTCTTCCTCTTCCCGCTTCTCAACCCAGCACGGGTTGCTACAGACTTTTGCTGGCCCACCTTCCTTCTGATCCATGGAGAATCCATTCAACAAGGGTTCTAGCTTAAGGCTGGTTTTGTAATGGGGCAGAAGGTTGGAGATAAAGTGCTAGTGATGCATGGTATTTACGCTTTGCCACTTTACACATATCATTAATGTTTACGTAGGTCCAACTGTATCAATGGGACACTTACTCCAAGGTCTGTGGCATGCACTGTGCTAGCAATTCCACCTACATTATCTCACATTTCGGGTGTTTAATGCCTTCTCTGCCTTTGGCCTCAGTGTTACCTGTGGTCATTCTTTCTTCATAGATATCTCCTCAAGAAAGTATGAAGACTACCACCCACATAATTTGCCAGGATACTATGATTACAAGAATTAGCACATTAAAACAGAGATGTGCAACATGTTCTAATAAATTAAAAATATAAACAACTTTTGCACAGTCCTTGGTGGATGTCCCCGGTGAGCTACAGCTCGTATTCCTGGCCAGGTTGTTATACTGCTTCTTTAGATCAAGGAGAGATTAGTGTTGGTTTGTCATGCAGCCTGACAAGGCCATCAGGAAAGATGGATTTGGTCAAACGACACTCTACTGGCTTCAAATTATAATCTGTAGCCAGCTTCCTGCTGTGTCACTGAAGAAGGTCAGACCTGGCTGAGTGTGTGCTGAGGTCCCAGCTGAACCAAAGCAATGCTCAGTAATCAGTAGTCTACTGAAGACCATGGCCTTTCTCTATGGCTGCCATGAGCACAACATGGGAGGTAGACTCACACAAACAAGCAGCCTGTGCTGAGACAGTAGGTCCAGTTTAAAGAAAGAAAGAAAAAGAGAATTGCTGGCTTTTAAAATAAGGAAGAAAGTAGGAGTGTGCAAATTAAATAAAGATAAGTTGTTAAAGGTTAGCCAGTTACTCTGGGCGGTGTTATAAGCAAATGGCATAGTCATTCCCTGGTTCTACAATATTTAGATGTTTTATTTCAGTCACAAAGTGGGAGCTGAGAACAAATGTGGGTAAACCAGATACAAAATACCTTCGCAGAACATAAGCTGAAACCTCGTCCCTTAATCCTTCAACGTTGAATCATATGTTACGTCTGGACCACAAATGGGGAGAAGGCCACAGTAGCTATGGTGTCCCCATGGCTTAGGGCACACATTCCCACATGCACACACATGTATACCCAGCCAGAAAACAGGGTTTCATCAGTGCTCATTGTATGGTCCCTATTGCTGCATAACAAGTTACCTGAAATGTGAGGGTTGAAAATGCCTGGTTACCAGTTTGCAGTTCCTGCTGACATGAAGTCAGGACAGTGCAACTGGACTCCCTGCTGAGCATCTCACTAGACTGGAATCAGGACTTTCACTAGGGCGTCTTCTCTCCCAGGCTCAGGGTCTTCGTCCAAGTGCGTCCAGGCTTACAACTGTGGGGCACACATTCCTGTTTTCTCAGGGTCTTCGTCCAAGTGCGTCCCTTACAACTGTGGGGCACACGTTCCTGTTTTCTTGCTGGTTTCAGAGGGGTTTGCCATGCATGAGGCCCAGCCACATGGCCTTTCTCACAACAAGCTTGTCTTGTTCTTCAAAGCCAGCAGCTCCTGTTTTCTCTCCTCTTCTCTCTCTCTCTCTCTCTCTCCCCCTGCCCCCACTCTCCCCCTGCAGTCTGCTACAATAGAGACACATCACACTCCTGTAACACTAGAGTGAGCAAGCCACCACCTTTGCTACACAACATGGCCAAGCAAGGGAGTGACCACCCCGTTGTATTCCCAGGCCTCACCCATGCTCCAGGGGAGGGGATGACGCCGTGTGCAAGGAGGCAGAATCTGGAGATCACCCTAGAACTCTGCGACTACAGCTGCTACTCAGAACAAAGGCTGAATTCGGAAATAGAAGACTGAGGGCACAGCCAAATGTCATTTCTCTCCGGAACCCCCAAGTGAAATGGACACAGTGCCAACATCAGGAGTAGGCTTCTAGGTGGAGGAAGGGGGTGGGGCGGGGGGAGGAAATGCTATTTAATGATCTATCAGTGTTTCCCCAGATTACCAGATGAAGAAAGTCAGGGCTCAATCTCAATGTCCTCTTTCATGTATGCCCAGCAGAGATGCAAATTCCTACACAGAAACCATCCAGTTATTCCTATGGTGAAACGGGTGGCTTCACAGGAAGTTAGGAACCCAAACCCTAACTTCTACGGAAAGCACTCCTTTTACCACCATACTCCTTTTCAGTGAATGATATCCAAGAGCTACAAGCCAGCAAGAAAACACCACGTTCTCTGGAGACAGAATACACACAACATTCAAGCTGTAGCACTGGCATTTTCTGGAACAGAAATAAAATAGCCAGATGAGCACATTTTGATTCTGGACTACAAGCCCTGCACAAGCATCTCCCTCTGAATGGGGTGGACCGTAAATGACGCGGGGCACTCTGCAGTCAGGCTAAGCCACCGGGAGAGTACTGGGAGAGCCACTCCCATGCCTACTCTCCATCACCTAAGATTCTGCCCAGGCAGCTGGGGACGGCCCCTGGCGGTCTTGAAGAAGGAGGCAGCCTTACTGGGAAGGGGGTCACAGGGCTGGCCTCAAGGCATCTCTTAGGAGCCAAGAGTGACCCCAGGCTGGTCAGAAAATGAGGGTCTCAGGCCTGCTGTTACAAACACCTGAAATCCTACAACAGCCTGAAACAGCTTTTAAGAGGAACTTGATACTCGGAGACCACACTCCAGGGACACCTTGATCTTGGCCTGCTGAGCCTTGTGCCGAGGATCCAGCAAAGCCAAGATGAGAAACTGTAGAATGAGAAATTTGTGTTGCTTTAAGCAGCACCATGTGTGGTAACTTCTTATGCAGCATAGAATACCAACATGCAAAAAAATGAATAGAAAAGTAAAAAAAAAAAAATCACAAAATCAGTTTTGGAAGCTCGCTGAAGCAACACCACTCAGTACGTAAACCGTAACTGGCCTCGCCCCGTAACTACAATATTTTCACGTTTCCTAAATGCAGGGACAACAGAAATCAGCACATACATTCTGATGCGCAGAAACACAGACGATGACAAGCCCAAATGGAAACTCCCGAAGTGATGAAGGTGTGCCAAACCATGGGGATGCAACCACGGGACCCCAACAGGACGAAAAGCAGGTCCGATGGTGGAGCGGTGTGTGTTACATGCATATGTCCAGTTCCACAGAAACTAGGCACTTACTCTGAAAGTTGTTCACGGAGAAGACGCGAGGGTGGTAGAATCCCGCCTTGCAAACGCACTGATAGGCTCCCAGGACGAACCCCAGGCCTTTGATGGGCATACACTGTGAAAGAGAGCACACCGGGATACTTAGTCACAACCTAACCCACAGCGAGAAGACCAGAAGCCTCGCAAATGTCTACCAATGCTCATGGCTGCAGGACCAACACACTCTTCAGAAATACTGCTTTTCTTGGGCTCTCATTTTAGGTTTGTCAACAGACATATTTCTAGAAGTAGCAAGTGGAACTTCCTCCTAAACCTATGCCTTTGCACTGTGTCTGCCACACATCTTTACCTCCTGTAGATGCCAGAGGGAGTAATTACCAGACAGCCTTTTTTTTTTTTTTTTTTTTTTGGCATGTCTCACATAGCATCTCACTGCTTCGAGGAGTATTTCCATAGTCTTTCTATCAAAGCAAAAGTACACAGGTACTTAGGTGGCAGGCAAACAGATAAACGGAATTAGAGGTGTGGAAATTGCTTTTATGATTTAAATATTCATCAGAATTCAAACTTGGATCAAAATAACAAAAACTTGGGGAATAATGGAACAAGTACATTTTAAAATGAAAATTTAAAAGAGAAAAATAAAGACAAACCAACAATCTCAAGAGTAATTTACCTAAAATACAGTTCATGGATAAATGTTTAAACATACAAAAATAAATAAATAAATACAATGATCAGCTTTCCAAATATGTCACATCAACATTTAACAGACAACTACTAAAAACTTAATCTTGGCTTCTTTCAATTATATTAATTAACCCAAACAAATTTCAGCTGAACATACTTCATTTTTACATTCAATTATATAAGCAAGGAATAAATTATATTAAACTGTAAATACAACATCAATAAATTAGGAGTGTTCCAAGAATCTAATCCACAATTAAATTTCTTTTCTGCTTTGTTCTACCAAGACACCAACCCTTTGCATTTTTGTCATTATAGTCTACTAGAGGAACTTATATTTAAAATATACAAGCTATCCCTTTGATACAGAGACCCTTGACAGATAATTCTAAATAATTTAAATAATAATACCACTATTTAAGCTCAAATACTAAACATCAAGATCAATATTATCATGAAAACTCCATTAGGTAGAAAAATATAGATATTTACATATAAAGTATAAGAGCTAATAAACGTTCTAAGTCATAGTAAGAAATACCTGAGAAAGAGCTTTCTAAAGGACTTCCTTAAATACTTTATTTCATCATGGGCAGACATCTGGTAGAGCAGTTATCATATGGGATACCCACATTCCATATTGGAGTATCTGGTTTGAGTCTCAGCTACTCTACTTCCAATCCAGTTTCCTGCTAATATGTGCCCAGGCAGGCAGCAGATGATGGACAAGTAGTTAGGTTCCTACCACTCACATGGGTGACTTGGATTGAGTTCCATGCTCCTGACTTCTTCTGCCTGACCAAGGCCTGGTTACTGTAGGCATTCATTGAGTAAACCAGGAGATGGCGATCAATTCTCTATATAACTTTTATCATCTATCTATCTGCCTTTCAGATAAAATGAAAATAATTTTTAAAAAATATGTTATTTACAAGAAGATCCAAATTTCCCAGCACCATTTGTCAATAAAAGCAAAAATAGACAAATGGGATTACATCAAGGTAAGAAGCTTTGGCAGTGAGAAAGGAAACACTCAACAAAGTAAAGAGGCAACTGTCAGAATATAATTGATAAAGGATTAATATCCAGAGTCTATAAGAGCTCAATAAATTCAACAACAACAAAACAAACAGTCAAGAAATGGGCAAAGGACTTGAACAGGCATTTTTCATAACAGGAAATTCAAATGGCCAACAAGTACATAAAAAAAATGCTCAGGATCACTAGCCATCAGGGAAATGCAAATCAAAACCACAATGAGGTTCCACCTCACCCTAATTAGAACTGTTCTCATGCAGAAATCAACAAACAATAAATGCTTACAAGGTTGTAGGGGAAAAGGTACCCTAACCCACTGCTGGTGGGAATGTAAACTGGTGCAGCCACTGTAGAAGACAGTATGGAGATTCCTTAGAAATCTGAAAACAGATCTACCATATGACTCAACCATCACACTCATGGGAATTTACCCAGAGGAAATGAAATCAGCATATGAAAAAGTTATCCATACCTCCATGTTTATTTCAGCTTAATTCACAATAGTTAAGATATGGAATCAACCCAGATATCCATCAACCTAAGACTGGGTAAAGAAAATGTGGTATAAACACACTATGGATTACTACTCAGCCATAAAAAGAATGAAATCCTGACTTTTGCAACAAAATGGATGAAATTGAAAACCATTATACTAAGTGAAATAAGCTAGTCCTCAAAGGACAAATATCATATGTTTTCCATTATATATGGTACCAGAGTACAAAAAAGTAAGGTATATGAATGAAATTGACATTTGAGGATTTATTACCGTTTATAGCCCCTGTATCTACTGTTGAGGAACAGTGCTTTTTTTTTTTCTTTTTACTGAATTCTTTATTTAGTATTGGGTTACTCTTACGATTTTAAAGTAAACTAAAAGTATGTCACTGTAAAAAGAAGAAGAAAAGGTGGGAGTGTGGGTGGAAGGAAGGGTAGAATGGCAAGTGTCACTATGCTCCTAAATTTGTACATACGAAATACATGAAATTTGTTCATCTTTTGTTCACTCTCTCTTTCTCTCTTTCTGCTTCTCCTTCTAGCTCTGTATGACTCTGATTTTCAAATAAACAAATAAATCTTTTTTTTTAAAAAAAAAAAGCACTAATTCCATGATGCCATGACTCAGCACTGAAATAGTGTATCATCTGAGAATCTGAAATGCTTAAGGAAGATTTGAAAGTTTATGGGAATAAGAGTATGCTCTGTTATCAGCCAACCTCAGATGTGACAGGGGAAAGAAGAAGACATAGAAAACATTTAACTGATTTGGTGAAATACTGCTAACCTCCATAATTTTATAACATAACCCAGTGACATAAATTATTACTTACTTCAAACTTTTTGTTATATTCTTTTTTTTTTTTTTTGGACAGGCAGAGTGGACAGTGAGAGAGACAGAAAGAAAGGTCTTCCTTCCATTGGTTCATCCCCCAGTGGCCGCTGTGGCCAGCGCGCTGCGGCCGGCGCACCGTGCTGATCCAAAGCCAGGAGCCAGGTGCTTCCTCCTGTTCTCCCATGCGGGTGCAGGGCCCAAGCACTTGGACCATCCTCCACTGCCTTCCCGGGCCATAGCAGAGAGCTAGACTGGAAGAGAAGCAACCAGGACAGAATCCGGTGTCCTGACTGGGACTAGAACCCAGGGTGCCAGCGCCGCAGGCAGAGGATTAGCCTATTGAGCCACGGCGCCAGCTTTTGTTATATTCTTAAGTTATCTTTTTTTTTTATCTCAAAGGAAATAAAAGTCTTCTTTTAAGGAGTGTGTGAACTCAAGAGGCTTCCATAGCCTTGGCAGCTCATGACAAGAGCCTCATGTGATTACGGACGTCATAAAGAGTGTCAATTGTTCAATCAACAATGGGAGTCACTGTGCACCTTTTCCCCATGTAGGATCTCTGTCCTTAATGTGTTGTACTATGTGAATTAATGGTAAAACTACTACTCAAACAGTACTTTATACTTTGTGTCTGTGTGAGTGCAAACTGCTGAAATCTTTGCTTAGTACATACTAAGTTGATCTTCTGTATATAAAGATAATTAAAAATGAATCTTGATAAAGAATGGGATGGGAGAAGGAGTGGGAGATGGGATGGTTTCAGGTGGGAGGAGGGTATGGGGGGGAAAGCCGTTAAAATTCAGAAGTTGTACTTTGGAAATTTATATTTATTAAATAAAAGTTGGAAAAAAGATTTATTTATTGGAAAAGAAGAGCTAGAAAGAGAGAAGGGGAGGGAGAGACAGAATTAGAGAGAGAGAGAGAAACTTCTTTGTGCTGGTTCACTCCCCAAATGGCTGCATTAACCAGGGCTGGGCCAGGCTACAGCCAAGAGACAGGAGGTTCATCTGGGTCTCTAATATGGGTTCAGGGGCTCAAGAACTTGGGTCATCTTCTGCTGCTTTCCCAGGCCATTAGTAGGAAGCTGGATCAGAAGTGGCACAGCTGGGTCTTGAGCAGGTGCCCATATGGGATGCCGGGGCTATGGGCAGTGGTTTAACCCATTGTGCCACAGTATTGACCCCGAAAATAAAATTCTTGCATTCAGAATCAATGAAAGCATATTATCTGCTACACCCTGCATCCATGACGAAGGGGCTTATATGGAACGCAATGTGCAACAGTTTGCCTTGGAGTACGCAAGCTACCTTTGCTTACTCTTCTATTAAGTAGCCAACCTCCTCCATCTACCACCGCCATTCCCTAGCTACTCAATTTCTCTTACCTCCCAAGCAAAGTTCTACATTCTCAAGATTATAACACTAGCTTTGAGTCTAGTTTTTCCTTAAATACTTGTATGTATAATGACTACTGAAGTAACATTTAGCCTACTTGGACTGAGAAACTGATTTTTACAATTTTATTTTCTCCTAAGGAATTCAATATATAAACAGATACCCTCTTAACACAGAAGAAAGGTGAGAAAGGATTCTGATTTTTACTCCAATATTAATTTAAGACATCTGCTGCAGGTACTCAAGATATTAATGTCATATATTGAAGTCACAACTTTCCTGCTTCATATAAATCAAAGGGAACAGGCCTTCATCTTCCTCCATACACTGAGTTTTTCATATGAAGAGTTTCGGTCCCCTGGGAGTGAAGCAGCTGCTCCCAGTACTGCGTGCCCCAGCCACGAGCAGAGATTTTCTAAATAGAGTTCCTAAAAATCCACGATAAAACCAGCAAACCAAATTCAATAGCACATTGAAAGGATGGGACCACAAACAAGCTGGATTTATTCCCGAAACACAAGGATGGCTCAACATGAAAAAAATCAGTGTAGCACACCACATCAACAGCATGAATTACCAAAGCCACACAATCATCTCAAGAGATGTAGAAAAGGCACTTGGCAAATTCAACACTCTTAAATGACAAGACTTCCCAATGAA